CAGCAGCCTGCCTACCACACCTCCCTGGCTGCCGCCCTGTGAGCGGCCTGAGTCGCGGGCCCTGCTCACCATCCGGGCCGCCTGTGAGCATATTAGAATTCACTGGGCTTTGTTCTTTGTAGGAATCAAAGCTGGGCTCCCATTCGAGGACCAACAGGCCTGCAGTTAATTCCTGGTGTGATGAGGAGGTGGGGTTTGCTGTCCTGGATCAGAAAAGCGAGTCCCTAAGGGAGGGCCCTGGCTGCATCAGCGAGGAGAGGGATGGCGGCCTTACATCCCGGCGATAAGAAGAGGGTCCTTCCCTCCTGGATGACAGCCCCGGGGCCTGAGAAGAGCATCTGGGCGGTGCAGACCCCGAAGAGGAGGAGGACGAGGACAGCCCCGGCGCCGGCGGCAGCCAGGTGGGACACCTTGGAGCCAGGCCCATCGCAGTGTCTGCAGATGGTGAGGTGGGCGGGGTTTCAGTCTGTCTCCAGCTCTTCAGAGGTGCAAGGGCTGCATGCAGGAGGCTGAGCGAGCTGTGTCCGCCCAGGCAGACGCCCCTGCCTCTTGGTGAATCTGCAACTCCCAGGTAGTGGCCCCCCTTCTCGGGTCGCAGGCATCAGCCAAGCTGTCCAACACCAGGTGGCTAAAACGCCCTTCTCTTCATTTGCAACAATTAGTGTGACCATCAGGTGGGCAAGATGAGAGGGCCAGGTCATCAGCCTTCCTGTGGGCAGACCTCCTGGGACAGGAGCAGCCAGCCCCTGTGCCAGCCTGGATCAGAGGCTGTGGGTGAACCAGTGGGATGATGCCAACTGTGGGGTCTCGAGGCCGCCAGGGAGGAGAGGTCCCTGAACTCTCCTGACGGGGTCCCGGGTGCTCAGTGCTGCCCCTCTGCCCTTCCTTTTATAAGGTTTCTTACCCGGCCAGCCCCCCTCTCTGACTGGCACAGCCTTTCCGTACTGTGTTCACGAGTTCAGTTAGGTGTCAGGTGGGTCTTGGCCTGGTGGTCCGTGTGATCAGCTGACAGGTATGTGTGTGTCTGTTCGGCTCTCAGGAGTAGCCATCAAGCCTTATTTGTAAATCCCTGGGGGCGTTGGCAGAGTTGGGAAGCCCCCACTATTGCCTCCAAGACCCCCCTCTGCCAGTCACTGGTCCCAAGAATGAGGAAGCTGGTGCTTTCATCCCCGGCGGAAGGCCCAGGGATGCAGCTCTCCTTCCTCCTTGGGAGACTGGGGCAGGGGACCTCAAACTACGGCCCGCGATCCGCATGCAAATACAAATATTGTATTTGTACCCATTTTGGTTTTTTTGCTTCAAAATAAGATATGTGCAGCGTGCATAGGAATTTGTTCATAGTTTTTTTTAAAACTATAGTCCGGCCCTCCAACGGTCTGAGGGACAGTGAACTGGCCCCCTGTTTAAAAAGTTTGAGGACCCCTGGTCTGGGGAGCCGTCTGCCCCATCTGTAGCATCGTGCCTTTCTTTCAGACTCCCCGCAGTGAAGACGGTGTACTGCATGAGTGAAGCCGAACTTGTCGATGTTGCTCTGGGGGTCCTGATCGAGGTAAAGTCAGCTGTGTCTTTTTAAAAATATATGTTTTTACTTCAGAGAGAGGAGGGAAGAGGGAGAGATAGAAACATTGATGAAAAACATTATTCGGCTGCCTCCTATACACCCCCTGCTGGGAACTGAGCCTGCAACCCGGCATGTCCCCTGACCGGGAATCAAACCAGCCACCTTTCAAGTGCATGGGATGAAACTCAACCAGCTGAGCCACAACAGTTGGCGGTTCTTCCTCTTTTAACCACAAACTCTTTACCGACTGAAACAGCCGTGGGGAGCCCTCTTGCGTGTCCGCCCTCCTTCCACTTGCCCCTTGTCTCATGAATCTCTCAGGCCGCGCTCCCCCGCTGTGAGCTGTGCTCCAGCCACGCGTTTGGGGCTGGATGCCTGGGAAGGGGTGGCTGGGCATGGCGAGCAGCCCTGTGTGGGTGACTGTGTGGGGTGAAGCAAAGGGAACAGGAAGTCTTGACCTGCTAGTTTTCTCAGGTGGGCAAGTTGACTCCTGGCCTCTGCACCTGGCAGAACAGCACTGAGGCCTCCTGTCTTCCTGAAGCTAATAATCATACCACCCTAGAGCTTGGTGGTTCTGTATGATAGACCAGGCATTTTAATTTTTTTGTTAATCCTCACTCGAGGATATTTCCCCCCCTTGATTTTAGAGAGAGTGGAAGAGGGGGAGAGACAGAGAGAGAAACATCAATGTGAGAGAGATACAGTGATTGGTTGCTTCTTCCATATGCCCTGACCAGGGCCAGAATCGAGCCTGCAACCTCAGTACATGCCCTTGACTGGACTCAAATCCGAGACCCTTCAGGCTATGGGCCAATGGTCTGACCATTGAGCAACCGGCTAGGGCTGACCAGGTATTTTTATATATCACTATCTCATTTAATCTCTGCAATAATCTGGTGATATTTCAGATACTGTTATTCCCATTTCACAGATGAAGAAATTGAGAGGCAGGGACTTTCCCTAAGTTGCACAGCCTGTGAGTGACCGAGTGTAGGCCCACACTCGTTTTGTATCCCGTGCTCCTTCCATTGTCACCTGCCTTCCCAGACAAGGTTTTTCGATGTATTTATTTTCTACTTGGGTGTTCCTCAGGCCTCTGCCCACTTCTCTCCGCGTTGGTCTTGGTTTCTCCCAGAGCTCCGAGAGGGGGAGGGTGGGCAGCAGTGGGCTGGAGGAGGTGCAGCGGCCACTGATTTGGGAGCGGTGCCCGACCCGGTCCGTGCTGGCTTCCCAGTTGCTTCTGGACATGGTCTCCACCACTGACAGGTTAGGGAAATAAATTTACTGTTTCGTCTGGTCTTTCTTCACAGAACCGACAACAGGAAAAGGCCTCGGAGCAGCGGCCCCTGGCAGGCCCTGCTGAGCCAGAGCTGTCCCCCAGCTGCTTGGAGGGGCCGGCTTCTCCCGAGAGAAGTGAGGGTGAGGACAGTGGGGAGGCCGCCCTCCCCCCAGGCCTGGGGCGGCCGCAGGGGTCTGCAGGCTGGGAGCCTGCCTGCAGCAGCAGCCCTGAAGAAGATGAGGACGCGTTCAAGTACGTCAGGGAGATATTCTTCAGCTAAGGGACCGGTTCCCAGGACGCTACGGCCGGAACAGCTACCGGACCCTAGGCTTTGGCGCTGCCTGGGGACTGCGCCCAGCTCCATGCCGTTGGGTGGCGCCAGAAGCCCTGACACTCGGCCTTGGGAAGTGAGGGATCCGAATGAACTGCCATCAGAATTCCTCTCTGCATTGTCCACCCTGGACAGGGGTCTGCAGTCCCCATGTCTGTGTATTCAGTGACCAGGCTCCAGGGAAAATGAGGTCACAGTGTCAGACTTATTGGCACCAAGGTATCAATTTAATAACTTTCAAACAGAAAAAAGTATGGCTGCTAAATACACCAGAATTGTCCAGTTTAGGCAGCACCCTCTCTGCGAGAGGAGGAAGCCGAATTTACAGTTTCCCTCACAGGCAGCCAGGCAATCCCTGAGCCGCCGCCCTGTTAGCCCTGAAGATATTTTGCCTGCAGTGCTCTGTCTGGGAGCTTAGTGCTCCCAGGGTACCTTTGGTCCAAGCCTTCTACCCATCAGAGAGGCCTCCTCTCCTGAGCTGCCCCCTTCCACTTGGCGGCCTTGGCCTTGATCCCCGGCCACTCTGAAAGTGCGAGTGGGACGGGCTCCCAAAGTGGACACTAAGGACAAGAGGTCAGGGCCGAGTCCACATTGCCTCTGTAGTCAGGGTGGCTTTTGGCAGGCAGAGTGAGGCAACCATTGTTATACAGTTTTTCAATATACAGTGCTGAAAAGTACAATTCCCCCTGCACAAGTGGTGCTTGTATCCTTTCTAGGTTTAGCTTGAGCAGTGAAGGGACGCAGCGTTTGTGGAACCATTCAGTCCTGTTCACCCTCCCTGCCCCCTCAGGATTCGGCATGCTGTGCTCCCGTACTCCCAGGGCCCAGTCACCCTCACAGCCCCGGCCTCCTTTATGCCGGGTGCCCCTTCCTCAGTGGGGCCCATCTGCTCAAGCTTGAAATCAGTATTAGCTATGAAGCAGGGTGGCTGCGAAAACAGCCCACGAGGCCTCTGGCGCCTGTCTGAGCCTCTGGACAGGGCTAGCAGCTCTCCAGCTTGCTCTTGTCGTCTGCCCTTTGGGGGAACATGACTGTGGCCATCAGCAAGAGGACGAGCAAGGCCTGGGCAGCGGCCAGAGCTAGGAATCCAGGCCCCAGGAGGGAGGGCGTGACCCACTTCCAGGTGTAGGTGAGGAAGAGGCCCAGGCCCCCGGCCAGCAGCATGGAGGCCATGGCCAGGAAGCACACGGCCAGATGCCACTCGCCCTCGCTCCTGTTGCAGCGGGCCAGGAGCAGCGGCAGGGGGACAAAGAGGGTGAGCACCAGGGCCCCGTACACGCCGAGCCGGGCCAGGGCCAGGGCGCCCTGAGGCAGCCCCAGGGCCTCCAGCTCAGGGAACTGCTGGCACTGCAGGCGGCCCGCGCTCTCGTTCCACAGGCAGAAGTTGTAGAAGCCGATTCTCAGGTTGGGCAGGTTGATGAGGTCACCCGCCTTCCAGAGGAGCGCGTAGAACAGCAGGAAAACGGCCAGGACCACGAGGACCATGATGCCCAGGAACAGCAGCTGGTCGCCCCGCCTGGCTCTGGGGAGGCTCATCTCTTGTTCTCGGTAGGGCCACCCTCCTGGGAACCTGAGGGAAGTCACGTCAGTGAGTGTCCAGCTCTCCCCTCTCCCTCCCAGTTTCTTCACAAGCTCATGCTCTCCCTTCTGGAATTCCATAGAAACCTGCGGCAAACTCCCACCCTCTCCCCCCACTGCCTCCAAGGAGTGTGAGGTGACTGGTCGCCAGGACAGGCTCTCCAGCAGCTCTGAGTGCCTCAGACGTCAGCGTGCACCACAAGCCCCTGAAGACACTGAGGTTTCTCAGACCCCTTGCCTGGGGCAAGGGCAAGGCTGTTATTGGGGCTTGAAGGGAGAGGCAGAAGCTGAAGGTCCTGGCGACCCCTAGGACCAGAAGGGAGCTGTAAGGATGACCATCACTGGGCCGCAAGCCAGTTACCTCAGAACTGGGGTTGGGGCAGGCGCTGGTGTTCTCGCAGCTCTGCTGCTCCTGGCTGAGCGGGTGAGGACCACCAGAGTCCCTGCCTGCTCCGGGAACACGTTCCTGGTGATGAAATCACATCATTTTAGAACAACTACAGTATTTTTTTTTCCTGACAATACTAATATACATTGATTTTTTTTGAAACTTTGAAAAATATTTAAAAGGAAAATGTATAAAAACAACCTTTTTCCCATCACATACGGTAAAACCACTTTTAACCAACCAATATTCAGTATTTGTAAATAATCATACCATTAAGCACAATGCTTTTCTTACTGAATATTAGACACATTTTTCAAAGCTGTTTAATATTCTTCAAAAACAGTCAATGGCTGGATGGTAGGTCACATCACAGATTTACCCATTACACTATTATTGGACAAATAGTTTTCATTTTTCACCATTATAATCGATAGTCAAAGTAAGTGCTAACTATATAACAGTGCAATTATTGTGTCAAGGGGAGAATCCTTTTTAGTGATTTTATTGCATATTGCCAAACTAACTTAAAAAACTTGCCTAACCCTCCCCACCATTTTTGAAAAAATTCTTTTAAATCAGTAGAACTTTTCCCAATCGGCATCTGAAATAGTCTGCCCTCAGTATATAATTGTTCCAATACGGGACAAAACAGCCCTTCACACAGTGAAGTGCCCAGGAACCAGTGCTGGAAGCCAGACGAGACAGGATGCTGAAGCTAGAATCCTGTCGGTCCCCCAGCCAGGAGAGCCAGGTGGCATTCAGCAGTGAAGTGATTGGTGGCCTGGGGAGAGGCCCCAAGACACAGGCCTGGAGATGAGCTTCTGAAGGGACCCTCAGGGAGTAGTCCCTCTGCCAGAGTGGCCTGGAGGGTCCTGCCCACACCCCACATCTCTGCAAGAGCCGAAGGAGCAAATGGAAAAGAACAGTCTGAAGGGACAGGATGTGGGACAGGCAGAGGGAGAGGCGGCGTCTTAGTCTCTATGGCCGCTGTAACAGAAATGCCATAGAAACTTATTCCTTACAGTTCTGGAGCTGGATGTCCCAGCACAGGTGCCGGCAGACTCCACGTCTGGTGCAGCCCACTTCCTGGTTCAGCGATGACACAGAGGTGTCCTCGTGGTGAAGGGCAAGGGAGCTAGCTTTCTGGGGCCTTTTTATAACAATCGAGTTCCTGAGGGCTCCACCCTCATGACCTAATCATCTCCCTAAGGCTCCACCCAATATCACGATGGAGATCAGGTTTCAACATATGGGGGCGGGGAGGGGGCGGGCACAAACATTCAGTCTGGCAGGTGACTCCAATCAAAGGACCTGAGTGAATGCAAATAAATGAGAATAAAGATTTATCAGCGACTCCCAGGCTGAGACCCAGGGATGTTGCCTGGGGGTGAGGCAGGTGCCTGTTAGGACGGGAACCTAAACCTAATCACACAGGGAAGGCTCAACTCCATGGTGCCACCACCTGACCACGGTCTTCTGCCCATGGCATCTGCGAGCTGGGGGTGAGGGCCAGCTCAGCGGAGCCCGGGGAGCTGCCCCTGCAGCCACTGATCCTCCGTCTCTGGAGGCCTGAATTGGTGAAACGGAGAAGCTGGAGGCCCCGTTTGAAGGTGGTTGGGAGAGTCCTGCAGCTATGGCGCCTGCTACAGATTTATCAAGAATGAAAATGGTGCCTTTAGTCCACACTTTATCAGATTGAGATAATAGGAGTTTTAGCCAGTTAGGGCCCATCGGGGAGAAATTCCCAGCGGGACATATTTTGCATATTTCACACATGCTTGCATAAGCCTCTGTCTGCATGTTTAGTGACGGTAGGCATTTCATGGTGGAAAGTAGATTTCTCGGCCTGGAACCCCGACTTCTGTCATTGTGCTGCAGGAAATAAGGTTTGACTTGCCTCCCTTGTCCAGAAACCAACAGGCTGGGACTTGCCTTTGTATAAATGCTCCTCCTTATTTCTCCTCTATCGAGCCTGTTATGTTTGGGTTCCAACGAAGTCACCATTAAACGTCTTGAAAACACGGCTCCCTCGAGAGATCATGGGACTTCTCAGCCGCCTTCCAGCAGCTCCTCCAGCCCTTTGTTTCTGACTTCCTGTTTTTCTGCTTCTGACCTTTTGGAGTTTTCAATAGAGTGAAACAAAATAAAGGAGCTAAGAAGCCCCAGAGCGTTTGGAGAAGGTGCAGGGTCTCTGGTTTCCTTCATTCTTCTCGCCTCTCCCTGTGTGAGGAGTTGAGTCCCAGCTCGGCGGCCTGGGTCTCCACCGTCAGGCCTCATTTAGAACTTGAACTTGGAATTCTCTAGTGAGGCCCTGCTCCCGTGGGTCTTCCGGTCTTGCTTTGCTTAATCCAGCGTCTCTCAGACTGTCCTCGTTCCCGTCTGCCCAACTCCTAAAGTTCCGCCCTGTTTTCTGTTCCTCTAAACCAGTGGTTCTCAACCTTCCTAATGCCACGACCCTTTAATACAGTTCCTCATGTTGTGGTGACCCCCAATTTCATTGTTACAAATTGAACATAATTAAGGCATAGTGATTAATCACAAAAACAATATGCAATTATATATGTGTTTTCTGATGGTCTTAGTCGACCCCTGTGAAAGGGTCGTTTGACCCCCAAAGGGGTCGCGACCCACAGGTTGAGAACCACTTCTCTAAACTCTACAAATTCCCCCAGCTTCCCGGGACTCCCCTCACCACTGAGCCAGCCCAGAGCTAGAATGTCTGCTGTGATCTCTCCCAGGGACGACTTTCCTCTGTCTTCCATGTTCTCGCCAGCGTGGTGCTGACACACAGGAGGAACTCACTCTGTCCTTTCACGTACATATCTTTTTTTTTTTAAATATATTTTGTTGATTTTTTACAGAGAGGAAGGGAGAGAGGTAGAGAGTTAGAAACATCGATGAGAGAGATACATCAATCAGCTGCCTCCTGCACATCTACTGGGGATGTGCTTGCAACCCAGGTACATGCCCTTGACCGGAATCGAACCTGGGACTTTTCAGTCTGCAGGCCGACGCTCTATCCATTGAGCCAAACCGGTTTCGGCCACATACATATCTTAACATGCGTCTATTTTAACACATTTCGTACCACTTAGGAGTTTTCTTGTGTTTCGCGTGCCATCTGTTAAGGACCGCTCACGAGTGTTCTCGTTTTTCACGCCCATGGAAAAAGGAGCGAATCTAGATACTTATGTAAATTTTGTTTGGTCCATCTTCATAGAGGAAAATGTTTTACGCAGTACCATACATTAAAAAAGTACTAGGAACTTTGTTTAATTGTTTTTGTAAATAAAAATTTTATAATTATTGAAAAACAACACCTAAAGTGCATTATGATGATTTAAATAATGTGCAGTTTGCCCAAAAACGTGCGGTCCCTGGTGTATGTCTTAGAGATTTCTCTGTGGTACGCAACGTGTTAACAAGACACTCAACACCGTGCTGGGATAGCCCTACACACTTCCTCTTGGAAATACGGACAGACTTTGGGAGCTCGTGGACAGAGAGGTTGGAGGCTCATCCTGGCTTCCTTTTCTAAACCTTTCACAGTCAACGGACATTTGGTTGGGAAACCCCATGGCACCCTTCTCGGCTGTCCTAGGAGCCTACCCGGTTGTTTGTTTGTTTTGGCTTTTAAGAATCATGTAATCGTAGTTATCACGCTCTCACAACTATGAGCCTTCTAATTCCCTTTAATGATAAGCGGGTACTTCCTTCAGAGGGCAAAGGGGAGGCTGCTGAATCATTGTTGCCATTTTTAGGTGAATTGTTTTCCGTTTTAAATAAAGTACATACTTGCTGATGGTAGATGACTAGAAATGTGGAAGTCTGATCCATAACCTCAGGGCGTAGAAATGACCACTTTTAACAACACATTTCCTTCTGGAACGTTGTTTTGCAGAGTTGAGTTTGCATTAACTACATCTGTTTATGTCTCCCTTTGTAAATATCTCTATAGCATGAATATTTCCTTACATCACTAGAAATGTCCCCTACATGATATTTTGAATGACTGCATAGCAGTTGCAAAGTTTAAAGTTTTTATAGATTTCTTTGTAATATTATAAATAATGTGATGGTGAATATATTTGTGGATCAATTTATCCTTTGTGAACAAAAACTGGACTATGCAATACACCTGACAAGCTTGGGCTGGAGGCACTGGCAGGCCTGACAAGCTCTGTGACCCAAAGTAGCCACACAGGATGGCCTGGTCACAAATTCCTAGCGCGGCAGGTCATGCAGCCGTTCTCTGGAGCATTTGAGATCTTGTTTTCTGGCATATGTAGTCGCTTCGGCTCAAATAACCTGATAAAAATTCCCTACAGATTTGAACACTTCCTCCGTGGACACTTCCACCAGCAGCTGAGAGGATGCCGATTCTCTCATCGCCCCCAGTGCTGGGCATGCTCCGGTCTTCACCTTCGATAACGACCAGTGACAGCATCGTCACCGTTTCTCTTTCATGAGTCAAGCTCCACATTTTCCAAGTGACTTTTGACGACCTTTAGTGTTTCTCTCATGACGTGCTCCCAGTTCCTCTGTGTGTCTTTTTCTTATTATCATTTCGAGTTCTGGTTTTGCTTCTCAGCCCGTATGAGCCCCTTCATAAATAAAGGCTGCTAGCCCTTTGCCGTCGTAATTGTTACAATAAAACACAACCCTGGGCCAGGCCCCTGGGCCGAGACACAGATAGAAACTCCCCATCAGTGTGTTCCGACCTGACCATTGTTACTTGCGAGTCCCAGTTTGGGAAGCAGAAGGCAAAGATTCTCAGCCTATTCAGCTGAGGCAGGTTGTCTGTCGTTTTTTGTTTAAGCTTTTCTGAAATGTTCACGCTGACGGGATGATGACCAAGAGAGACACACACTTCACTCCTATTCTTGGCAGTTTCATATTAAAAGAGTGAGATGTTCATGAGGCTGTGTCTGAGGGAGGATTACAACTCTGGCAGAAATGGCACAAAAACCCATCTGGCTGTCCGTCGCCGAGTAACAGCCCCAGGCTGCCCAGGCCAGGGTGCAGGGCGCCGGCGGGCGGGCGGAGAGCAGCGTGCAGGCCCGGCCCCTGTGAGCAGGAGCTGCCATGGTGGTGCCCGGGGCTGGGAGGAGCACTCGTGGGGCTGGGAGCAGGAAGGCCCCATGGGCGGGAACCCTTGCTGATTTACTTAAGATTCCGCGTGCTGCTTGCTCTCTCCAGTCACAGAATCAAAATGAACTTTACAAATGAGCCATTGTGTCTGCCTTTTCATAGCAGGTTTCTAGGGCCAATGTCTGCCTCCCGAGCATATGCTGTGTCTTTTTCTTACACGCGGCTATTGCATAACTTAATAAACAGCGGTCATGCACTCAGTTATCATTTCTGACTTGTCCCTGCTCTAAAGGCTTTCATGTTACCTTTTCATCTTATGCCAATATTTGAGTTTCCTAGTAAACTCCCTTCTCCTCTACTTTATCTTAGACCAGCAGTTCTCAACCTGTGGGTTGCGGCCCTTTGGGGGTCGAACGACCCTTTCACAGGGGTCGCCTAAGACCATTGGAAAACACATATATAATTACATGTTGTTTTTGTGATTAGTCACTATGCTTTAATTATGTTCAATTTGTAACAATGAAAATACATCCTGCATATCAGATATTTACATTACGATTCATAACAGTAGCCAAATTACAGTTATGAAGTAGCAACAAAAATAATTTTATGGTTGGGTGTCACCACAACATGAGGAACTGTATTAAAGGGTCGCGGCATTAGGAAGGTTGAGAACCACTGTCTTATACAAAAGGAACCCCCACAACCAAAAAAATAATAAGATTCTTCTGTGTGGTTTTTTTTTAAAATTCATTTTTCCTGCCAGAATGGCTGAGGCTATTGAGTAATCAGACTTTAGAGCTTGGTTTATTTAGTTTCCCACCATTTACCTGCCTCCTCACCTGCATGTCTTGGCCACAGATAATGCCCGGGGCAGCCTCACAGCATGCCTACACAGCGACCCAGAGGACCGTGCCCACGAGCAGTGCCAGCTATTGTGTTCCTTACAGCTCAGTGAAGCCTCGCAGTGTGCCCAGCAGAGGACCGCGGGTCCCCATAGAGAATGGCCCCTCCCGTCAGCCTCCCTCTCCACGGGGTGGGGACTGGGCGCCGGCACACCTAGTTCCTCCTCCAGAACAGCAC